AGGTGTGTGGGTTAGGTGTACAGGATGATCTAGTGAAAAAAAAAATGCTAATAGGCTCAATTGCCATAGCCACAAGCTGCCTTTGAAGTATTTGGGTTCGCCTTTAGGAGCAAATCTAAGGAGAAAGAGTACCTAGCAACCAATGGTGGATAAATTTAAGAAGAAGTTAGCTTTGTGGAAAATAAGGTGCTTGTCTTTTGCAGGAAGATTAACCTTGATAAGATCAGTGATGTCAAGTTTGCCAATATATTTCTTATCTTTGTTTAAAATGCCAATGGGTATTGCAAGATCACTTGATAAAATTCAATCTAATTTTCTCTAGGAAGGATCTGAAATAAAGAGAAAAGAGCATTTAGTTAGTTGGAAGGAGGTATGCTTGAGTAAAATTCAAAGAGGGTTAGGGGTTAGGAATCTGAGAGAGGTAAATGATTGCCTACTTCTAAAGTGGTAGTGGAGGTATGGTAGAGAGGAGAATGTTTTGTGGAGACAAGTGGTGTACAGCAAGTATGGAGGAATTGGTGGCAGATGGAGTCCGTTACCAGTGGTTTCAAGTATGATGTCTACTCTGTGGCAAGATGCATTATCAATGAATTTAACTAATCCTGCTTTAAGTGAATTCTTTTTCAACAATGTCAAAAAAGTTGTGGGTAATGGTAGAAGGATTTAGTTTTGGGTTGATAGATGGTTTAACAATGAGAGTCTTAGTGAAGTCTTTCCCAGATTGTTTTCATTGTCAATTGAGAAAGGTGAGTCACTGCTACATTTTGTCCAAAGGAAAGAAGAAGGTCGTGACTGGAAGCTAGCTTTTAGAAGGCCTCTTTTTGCTTAGGAAGAGGAGGAAGTGTCCAAATTGAATGATGTGCTGCATAATGCACATACTCTAAATGCATTGGTTGAAGATTCTTGTTATTGGTTAGCGCACTCTTCTGGGTCTTTTACTGTGGCATCAATGTGGAAAAGAGTGGAATCATCCAAAGGTCTGGCAAAATCAATTACAAAGAGCATTTGGAGGAATGTAGCTCCGCCCAAAATGCAATTTCTGAGTTAGCTAGCTTAGAGAGGTAGGATTAAATCCTCAGCTTTTTTACTTAGGATAAAATTGTTGAATCCAAATGCCAACCCACTGTATGTATTTTGAAAATCTAAAGTGGAGAGCATGAATCATGTGCTACTACATTGTCATTTCATATGGAAAGCCTGGTCTGATATTGTGAATTGGTGGAATTTGAGTTGGGTCATCCCTGGTTCAGTGGAGAAACTCTTACAATGGTGGTCAAGTATAAGACATAAGTTTCAAGTGAAGGAAATTTGGAAGGTAGTTCCTTTAGCAATGATGTGGTCTGTGTGGAAACTCAGGAATGAGTGTTTATTTAAAGAGGCAAATCTAGATTTTGCAGAATTGACTAAGTTGGTGAAGGTTAGAGTTGCTTTATAGGCAAAATCAAATTTGAAAGAGTTGAAGCACGCAGTTCATGACATAGTATCTAATCTGAAGCAGGTATGCTATTGTGTATAGTTGGGAGTCAACCTTGTTGTTGCTGTAGATATGGAGTGTAATGCTTGGCAGTTGCTGCTACAGAGCTGCTACTAGATGCTAAAGCAGGATTGTATTCTGTTCTTGTCTGCTGCTGTTGCTGCTACCAGTTGTTGCTACTGATATTGTTCTTGCCTACTGCCGCTGATATTCTATTATTCTGTTCTTGTCTACTACTGCCGATATTCTACTAGTTGCTGCTGCTGATAGTATTCTTGCTGCCAGTTGCTGTTTCAGAGATGTTCGGGCCCTGGGTGATTATTTGTAGTTTATAGGACTATTTTGCCTTGGTGGTGTTCTGTTCTTGTCTACTGCTTTTGTTTTTCTTGGCTGTTTGATTGGACTCTCTCCAATCTTGGGTTAAGTGCTAGCAAATGATAGAGCTAGCTCTTCAATGCTAACCTAGTTGAGATTGTTGAGTTTTGCAATAATACTCGATGCACTTCCCTGTTTTATTGATATAAGTTCTGCATTTTGTATATATCTTCTTTATAAAATTTTTCTTTTTGTTGATCAAAAAAAAAAAAAATTGATAAAATTAAAATTTCAGAATTTATTTTGTTACAGGCAAGGTTCTGAAAAACGGTTGCGATCGTCGTAATGATAGTGGTGGCGCGGTTGCGGTTGCGGGATGTAAAAGTCGTAGTATAACAGTTGCAGTAACCGGGACCGTGAATTTTTTTTATTTTTCGCACAATTTGAAAAAAACTTACCAATACGCATATTTTTTTTCCATGATCATATTTATTGGGTTTAAAATAAATATTGATCAATTTTTGTAAATTTTTAAGTATGATTCAATATATTTCATATTTTTAAATCACTATAAACTGAGTTTTTTACATTTTATTTTAATAATTAATGACTATATATTATACAAAAAAATCAATCACTAACTATTATATATAAGATAAATAATGACAAAAGTAAAAGAATAAACAAGAGTCTAAATATATATATATATATATATATATCTTAATCAAGCCAAATAGATAATGACCACACTTATTATTATTATTATTATTATTATTATTATTATTATTATTATTATTTTCAAACAATATATAGATAGACACAAACAAACAAAATAGTTGAGTGATAGTAGCTGAATAGATAGCATAGGTCTTACAACTTCAACAAATCAATAACATGTTTTTCATCTTCCCTCCTCTCTCTATATCTCTTGCTCCTCCATCTTCTCTCTTTATCTTCCCTTTTCTCTCTATCCCTCTTCTCCCATTTTCAGTTTTTTTTTTTTTTTGTGTTTTTTTGAAAAAAACAGTTCGGAACCGTTACGTAATGATACGTAACAGGTCATTATGGCACCGTTACGACTGCTACGACAGCCGTTACGGCCGACACACCTGTGAATCTCAATCATACTGCAAAAGCGACAGTAACGGGTGGCGGTAACCACCACAACCATTACGAAACGGTTGCGGCCTCTTTTTAAAACCTTGATTACAAGATAAAACTTTTTTGTAATATTCGCTTGAAATAATTTAACTTTTTTTCATATATTATCTACCCACAAAAAACTTAAAATATCAATGAATCAAATCAAAGTCTACGCAAGCTCAAGATGGACAATCCAATTCACTTAGGCTACATTTAATTTTGGGATTATCAATTTTTTTAATTGTGTATCGTATTTCTAGCGGGTAAAAAAAATCAATGAAACACAACTAACAGCTCAAAACTGACCGAATATTGATTTTCAGCATGTTTTTCATAATATATTATTTGTTTCAATTTTTAAAAATTTTATACCAATATAAATTGAACTAACCAAAATATTATGCATAAAGACTTTATATTTTAATTATTTGACTATTAGAAGATAGGTGACCAAAAGTGCTGGGAATCAATTTCCAATGAAATGAAGACTATACTAGAAGGAATTTGAGGCTGCTTCGATTTCTTGGTATAGGAATTTCAGGTGTGATTTCTCCAATGGTGGTGTGATTTCTTTATTTGTTTTGTTTTTTTAGGTGCCTTTCCTGTTTAATTGCTTGTGGCTAGGTTGTCTTTATTTTATTGTTCTGTTGGTTGTGAGGCTTTGGTATAGCTCCTGATAAGCTTGGTGCATGTCAACTTCTTCATATATGTGGAAACTGTCAATCACATCCTGCTACAAGCCCTTTGGTATGAAAAATAAGGTCTAAATTATTGGATTGGTGGAACTTGTCTTAGGCAATTCCTGGGTCTATTGGAGGTCTGTTGGAATGGTGGTTAGGTACAAGTTGCAGCAGGTTTGAAAGGAGGATATGACATTCTATTCCTTTTGCTATCATGTGATCTGTGTGGAAGCTCAGAAATGAATGTTTGTTCCATGAAATTCAACCACCTGTTAAATCTACATTTTTCTATTAATGATGTGGTGTTCAACCTTCAGCAAGTAAGATCTTGCTCAAGGCAGCAAAATAGGATCAAAGGCTAATTTTTGGATGTTGAGATTGTTGTTTGTTGTTTGGTAGATTTAACAAGTGGGGTTAGTTGAATGTATGGTACTCATCTGTTTTGGGGTGATTTTTCTATTTTTTGGTTGGTTTTTCACCAACATTTAGACTTGAGCTAGCGCATGATTGGGTTTCCTTCTTGATACCAACCTAGTTGGGATAGGTTTGGGTGCTATGATGCTATCTTGCTCTTGTCTTTTCTTTATTGATGGTTTCCCATATGTAATGTATGTTCTATTATCATCAATAAAGTTCTCTTCTTTTGTTGATCAAAAACAACTTCTTGATATATGATTTTTTTAGAAATGTTAGAAACTCACAATTTAAATCTTTAAATTTATTCATAATGATATGATAAGATAGTGAAATCCAATGGTTGTTTTAGGAAGTAAGTTAAAAGTTAGTTTTTGACTTTTTCTAGATTTTTTTTAAAAAGTGTGTAAAAAAAGTAAAGAGGTGATATGACCCAAAAGATGTTAAATGTTAAAAAAGTTGGCTTTTAACTTCTTGCCAAGGGAGGCCTATATAATTGAGGGTATGATAAATCAAAAGTTAATATCTATCATGATATATCATTGTGGGTCAAATTAGGAGAGCTCTTTTAGGGATGTCAAACATTTTATATATTTTTAAAGCTTTTATGCTATTTTCTTGCCCTATTTTTTTTTTTTTGTTTTATTGATGTATTTTATTTGTAATTCTTGTACTTTGTTTTACATCAATAATTTATTCAAAACAAGAAAAAAATAAGTAACCAATATAATACAATTTTTGTGATAAAAACTAGGAAGAGATTGGTCTGTGAACTTAGTCTTTGAATTGGTAATGTCCTAGGGAGAGACTGACAAAATTGTATTAATTTTGTAATTATCAATTAGTCTAAACCTGTTTTTAACCTCTCATTATGTGTATCACTCCTTTCTCGGGATTTGATAGTCTCTCATATAAGGAATACCATGTCCGAAGAGTACTAATCCACATTCCAATACCATGTCTCCAGGCTCTCATTTTATTAACTAAACTGGATATTATTATTTTGTTAAACTATTAATATTAATGCAACCATAAAGGCACGTCCTCCGCCTTAGCGGATTGGACAAAAACCGAACCGCTACAGCAAACACATCTCCATGCACGCATTGTAATTGCCATCGGCAGCACAAAATCGTGCATTTATTTTAACTATCAAAAATATTACAAGGTCAAAACAAACAATACATCACTCAACCTTCAAGTAAACTCAGTATTACAATATGAGCTCAGTTTCAAATATCCTTAGGACCATTGATCTCCTGCACATTGATACAACACAACAAAGTATTAAGATAATAAACTTCCTATATATTAATATCTAAAAAAAATTGTGACCTCAAGAAAACTACCTTGTTAGCAATTACAGCTCCATCAGGGATTTCCAACTTTACCCCTGATTTTGCAGCAATTACCACTTTTCCCTGAAAATAACAACCACATTTTAAAAGAGTTTTGTGGTGGAACTTGCAAAAATAAAGGAAATGAAAACAAGAGTGTATGTGTGTACATATATATATAGTTTCCAGACTCCACCAGCAAAACCTCAGGTAAAAGAGTGTCAGAAATGGAACAAGAGCGGATATATTGTATAATACCTTGAGAGTAATGCCAGATCCAAACCAAACATCACCAGTCACCTTTAAGCTATCAAGTTCAATGATACTAGGGATGGACTTGAAACGACTCAAGAAGTCGGCAACCTGGAAAGAAAATTTGATGACCAACAGTGTAATATTAAAAGGTGCTGCAATCCAATGGAACAAATTACTACCTTTTTAAATTCAGGTCCCAATTCAATAGAAGGATTTGCAGGATTTGCTCTAGCTTTGTTTCGGGTCACATAGCCATCATTCAAGGTGTAAAGATCAGACTGCAAAAAGAGCAAATGGATATCTTAAAACAACCAAATAATTGGATCAATAGGCAGAAGAATCCTAAATTTAGCATCGGAAGTTTAACCTGGACAAGAAGCAAATCAGAAGATGCTTTCACTGGAAGGAATCGAGATCGAGGACCATTAATACCAATAGCATGATCGAAGAACTGGTTCACAAAAGATGGAAACAAATAATGTTTTAAAACTTCGAACACAGCAATCAAAATGGCAGATATCAAGAATAAGTTGATGCATGTAGAGTGTACCCGGATTGCAGCACCAGCCGCTGTTTCCAGCTGCATAACTTTTATTCCATCCACTTCCTGAGAACCAGATTAATTTCATCAAACAGTAAAAACCATTAAAATTGACTTGTTAGTTGCATGACCATCGATGTAGAGAAACAAACAGATACCTTAGGGTTTGGAATAATCTCCATCTTCAATGCATTTGTTTCAACAAGTCGTTTAATTGCATGCAAGTTCACCCACCTGGCGCAATATGGAGTTAGTGTTTAATTTCTGCATGTTTACATGTAAAAGAGCATGACTTACAAGTTGTTGGTATTGAAAATTTTGAACTTCTCAATAGATTTGAATTCATTGACCTGGACAAAACAATTGCATCAGCACAAACTTTGCAAAGAAATTTAAAACTAGTGAGCATGCATTTCAAACTATGATAAAAGTGGACACTAGGGCATTGTTTTAAAGAGAATCCAACTATCCCAAACTTGGAATTCATTATCAACACCAGAAACATACATTATTTGTCTTTGGTTATTAAGCTAAATTGGATTAGTATACTTGAGTGACAGGCTAGTGAGTCTATACAAATGTACCCACCCTAGAAATCATTTTCCTAATGTTCTACCTCATTAAAACCTAATTTCATGATAGCAGAAGCAAACATCTTTCTCCACGAAAATTGGTATACTGAATATCCTTATCTGGTCCAAAATTTTCTAAATTTATCAATGGAATAAGGCTACTCAAAAGTCCCCATAATGTAGAATTTAGAAAATTATACATTACATCCTCATTTCATCCCCCTCTTTCTCTACAACCCTAAAGATGGGCACCTCTGCATATTAAAGAGAAGAATTTCCCCAACATGATTTACCTATTTCTTGTGGCTTTTCTAGCTGTATGAACGTTAAAAAATTAAAAAAAGGGAGAAAAAACTGGTCTAAGAAACCACCAAAAGTACAAATTGCTTCAATTAATTAAGCTTTAAGTGTGGATGCAAGTATAACAGAAATAAGGTTGGACAAACAATAAAAGAAAAAAGCAAAAGAAGTGGGCTAGAACTCACATGTGAATCAGGAACTTGTGCAATCTCCAGGAGCTGCATCACACAAAGGCAAGGAAAACATGAGTAAGAAACTTGTATTTGAAGCATAAATTCATGTAATTAATTTATAGCACCAGAGTAAAATTTAATATTTTGCAGGTTGCAATCAATTAAACATGGCACAACCTGAAAAATCTTTCAACCGAAAGAAAAACTAAACAGTACCCAAGAATAAGTAACAAACACAGATTAAACTACATCAGGCAACTACCAAATGCTCGAAATTATTCAAGTAATATAACAACAGGTAGCCTTTTGTTGATAGTAGGAGTTGTTTGATGTAGGAGGTGATACATTTGGTGGCACCGAAAGAAGTTGGGCATGATGATTGACCAAAGAAAAGCTTAAAGAGTCCAGCAGTGGAAAGCACAAAGAATGCCTAACACAATTTTAGAAAGCTCTATTCATAAATAAATTGGAAGTTTTGGGCTCTAGAATTCAAAAATTAAAAAGACTGCAGGAAAAGTGATCTAATAGGTATAAATCCACATTATTTTTATTTTCATTTAATCCCAAGTTATTTTCTTCATACTTGCCACATGTTTCATGTGTGTCTATGCAATTGACATGTGTGCCCCCCCAACTATCCAAAGCATGTCTAGTTCTAAGAAAATTTAAAATGATGGGACACCTTTGAATGCAATTCAATTGAAACATAAAACCAACTATCAATATCAACCAAAACTTGTATCTTGTTAAGAAATTCATCATATTAATGATATTTATCAAGAAATTATATGTAAGTTGCTTTATAAACCATGCTACACATTTTAAGGAGCAAAATTATAGAGGTACTCAGGAAAACCATGAATTTTCAATGACAAGTATATACCTGAACCTTTCCGTCATAGGAAATCAGAGTACCGCCTTTCACATCAGCCAAAGTTTTGGGTGTCACCTGCAATAGTCAAGAACCTATAGAAATAGTTTTGGAGAGGAAGAAGTTTGATTTACAACCACCACCTTTAAATACCTCCATACAGTACTCATTCTTGTTTCGAATCAAATGATTCAGGATTTCTGCAACACTAGATTAAGAAACACAACTATCCAAACGATCCACTATTCACCTTAGTTTGCCACTAACAATGCATATAACTAGTAAAAATGTAGAAGGTATGAATGAAAGGCTGAAGAGAACCATAATGAGGATACTCAGATCAACGACAGCCCCCAAGTTATCTGAGTTTGCAACAAAGACATATTCCTTTCCCTGTGAAAGGATGAAATGAAATTGACAAAAAATTATAAACTAAAGATATCTTACAAATTGAATGTACTAGAAGCTCTTGTCAAAAAATTGGAGAAAATAAACTAGAAATTAAAGCAAAAACCTGAGACAACAATGCATCGAGCTTGCCACTATTCTTCAATGATGGAAACACATCACCATGGCCAGGAGGATACCTTCACAAGCAAAACGTTTTGTAAGGTGAAAATAAGAACTAACAGAAAAAATATATTATGTAACTAAAACAATCAACACACGAGTTAAACACTACCATCCATCTTTGCTAGTATTTCCTTTGCACGGAACTGGCATAAAATCTTCAACAACCAGACGAGGGTACTGGCTCTATGTAAATCAAAAGAAAAAAGACAACATTCAATATTATAGAATTCCAAAAAGTACCAGAAATGGTTACTGGGGAAACTTCTCATAAGGTTTACGAACCTGATTAAATGTATGGACCTCAATGTTTGATTTAGCATATTTTTCTACAATCTACATCCATAACTTCAACCAATCAGTATTATACTATAACAAATAAAAAGATTTAAAAATAAGAAATGTAAAACAAATTTTTGTTCACCTTCTGTGTATCATCATGGGTGTTGAATGAGTTCATTAGTAGCAGCGGCACATTGCATCCATACTTGGAGTTCAGGGACTATGCAAAATGGGAAGATTCAATTGCAAGGAAAACAGAACAACAAAAGCATTAACCAGAAATATAAACAGATGTATGTAATAAATTGTTAAAGACCTCAATTTGGATGACAATTAAGTCTAGGAATGTCAACCCATTACGAACTTCAATGACAGATCTGCATCACAAAAGGACAAATCAACTCCATCAAGAATTACAACAAATGATCAGGGACTTTAATGTATGAAAATTTTACGTACATTTGGTAATAACGACAATTGCAAAAATAAAAAAATAAAAAAATTGCAAAAGTTGTGCTCGAAGGGAGATGCAGATACCAGTTCATGGTTATCATCTGTCAATAAAGGTTACTGAAACTTGTGGTTTAAAAGAGGGAAAAATGCAATTCATAGATTTAGAGATAGCTACGAATTGGTATTAAAAAATTAAATAAATCAATATTCTTGAATGAATTTTTATACAAATTTGTCATCTTAAGTTTAAGTTTAGTCAGTTTCAGATTTACAGAAATGTACTTTAGAATTAAACAAGAAACCAACTACGTGGACTCACATATGAGTGACAGATGGGGTGGTGTCACAAGGATACTGCAAGATGATGTGAAGAGTTTGTGTAACAAAAGGAAAAGCTACAATCTTCTACCCTAAAGTCATTGCAGCTCCATCTGGCAAGTAACACATCCTAGTTCGGACATACGGAAAAATGAATGTCAAGGGAAGAAGTGTTTTAAACAACATTCCCAACCAATGGACCTATATTCTAGGTGTTGCATGGCAATCCCAAGGTGAAATAAAAAGTCCAGGTAACAAAGAATGAAGCTATACCAGTTTCACTTATAAAGTAACCCAGTCTACTTTCTCTTGGAGATACCATACTTCACCTGATAGCCCAATAAATTATTTTAATATACGTAAATAGATGCTGGAGCTTTTAGCATCTGTGACAATCACGTAGTTGAAAATGGGTTAGGTTAAACCATATATTGAAAGGAAAATTACCAACCCATTCTAGGCTGAAGAAAAAAGTCATCAAAAGCATAATGCAGGTCAATTTTGGCAGAAATAGACATAATCCTAACTGCAGTAACTATTCAGCCGAAGAACATAATTGAGATCAGGACCCCAGACTATGGGTGCTAGATTGCTAGTACAAGGCAGCAAAAAAATTATTCAGAGTTCTGTCAGACAAATACTATCATGGAAATATAGAGAAGCCATTGTTAAGCAATTATAATCATTGCAAATATAAAGAGACCCTTGTTAGCAACTTAGATATGGTCAAATGAATGAACATTCATAACATCATATTTAAGCATCACAATTAGCACATGGCCAAATATGTTGGCTTCGATATCCACTTGAGATGACCAAAACCAACAATAATAAACAGCATAGAAGAACCACACCAAAACAGAGTTCAGAAACACAACGCCATTCAGACAAGTTACAGGGGAGCTAAAAGGTGCCAAGTAATTCAACCAGAACAAGAGAAAATCATAAAACAATTTAAATAATTTACTTGTGAGAATAGACAAGAAAACCAAATATACTGAGGAGGTGGATGCATACTTAGGACCAGTACAACCCATTGTTGTTCCCAAGCCTCCATTAAGCTTTAGCACAACAAGTTTGTCCAAAAGCTTCTTGGTTTCGGCAGGATCTGTAACAATTCAGAGGTTCACACACAACCTTCTTTAGAAAGAGTTTGATTGCATCAAAAATACACACAAAATTTATTAGCGCAAAATTTGTAGTAGCATAAACGTGTTAATAAGAAGAAACCCCCCATAGTGAAGAAATCACCTTCCGGTGTGGGTGCCAAACTGTCATAAGGAACCACCACCTCATCAGTAGGAGTCTGAATCTTACTCCATTCTACGTGCTGTGCTTCGCCACTTCAATGCAATGTGACACAAGATTTATTAAAAATAAATGTCAACGCATCCATTTTGTTTGCTTGCTAAGAAAAATGAAAGAAAATAAATTTACTCAACATTAGCACCTAAGAAAGAACACTAGACATCATCACCGTTTACATAAGTTGGCCCCATACGAGCCAATTCAATAATTGTTAAAATAATAAACATCACATTCATTCACATTTGGAATTGTTGTGTTCATATTTCTCAATTCAATTTGGCAATAACGAGGAAACAGATGAGAGAAGACTAAAACGATTCATATATAGTAACGACAAGATCAATCAAAGGGAAATGAATTGCTATTGCATTTATACCTGAGAGAGCGAGCGACTAGGTTTATGAATCCAGATTTCTCATTATCACTGCAAATCAAAACAATGCAAACTCAGATCTGTTGTGTTCCAGTGCGATATCGAACACTGAAAGCCTTGGAATGAAAAAAAAAAAAAAAAAAAAAAAAAAATGAAGAAGATTGCGAAGAAGTAAGTAGAGTAACCTGATTTGAGAGAGGCCAGCTACAGCAGATTGGAGCTTGGAGAGCTTCTCGGAATCTGCGGCGCTCAAAGTGGCAGCAGCCATTGCAGACTGATACAGAGCTCCGATCTATAGAGAGAGAGAGAGAGAGAGAGAGAGAGAGAAAATTCGATCGAGAGAGAGGAGAACGAAGAAGTGACGAAGTGGTGGTGAAAATGTTTAGATGCATATATATAGATATCGTGGTGGTCCCGTGGTAATATCTATCTCTATATGTATATATATAGTAGGTAGTACAAAACCATCAGAGAAAGACAGAATATGAAGGCGAATACAACGTGAGCCCAAGAAGTGAGACTTGGCGCGCAAATTTCACGCAAACGGTCCCTTTTCTCCGCGTTTGGCCCACCCTGGACTTCCCAGCTACAAGCTCGTATAAATGGGACCGACTTCCCTCTATACCTTTACATACTAATCTAAGTAATATTAGGAATTTTTTTAAAAAAATTAAATTTTTTATTAGTCTTATTTGAAATAATCTATAAAAGTTAAAAAATTTAAAAATGTCAAAAAATTTATACTATTTGAAGAAAGCTCAGAGGACAAAATTATTATTTTACCTTTTGAATTCAACTATTCAAAAGTCAAAAAGTTTAAGTAAAAAAGGCAACAAGGGTAGAATGGTTATTTTGATTTTATTACAATATTTTATTATACATCTTTTCGTAAAAAGTCAAAAAATAATCCCAAACATACATATTTTTTCTCTATTTTTTTTAAAAAAAAGCCAAAAAGTACATTTATATAACACATCTCAAACAACCCAATATGGGATTCGTATTTCCATACCTTTGTGAGTGTTTGATAAATAATTTAGTAATTTTGTTGGAGTCTTTAACATTTTTCTTACCAATCCAAGTATATAAATGATCTGAACTATCTATCTCGTTATTTATGAAAGATATCAAATTCATCCGACATTTATAAATATAAGAATAAATCACATTTTATTTTAAAAAATAAATGTTTTAAGTTTATAATAATATTCATTGTTTATTTTATAAAATAAAATGTGATTTGTTTATATATTTATAATTATCCAATAAAATTCATCTTTTCCATGAATAATCTTCACTCCGTGACTTTCGATTTCGTATTTGTGTTTGGTACATGTAATTTCAACTGCTAACCTACTCCATTCTTCCCACATGTTTTAATATTTATAAGAAGGAGAAGAAGAAGAGTTGTTAAAATACGAAGTATTTTCTTTTCTTCTTCTTTTTATGGGAAGAAATACAAAAAGCATTAGATCAAGGGTTGATGCTGAGCTGTTTATGGGTTTAAGTTTTATTGTTAGGTTATTATGTTTTTTTTCTTCCTCTATTTTTGCCTATCAATTGTTAAAAAATAAAAATAATCAAGCACATTAAGAAAAAAAAAATTGCAAAAACAAAATCCACATATATCTATCAAAATTATGTAATTATTTAACTTACATTTAAAATATTTTCCCCAAAAAGATTGAGGAAATTTATTATGCCCTTCAAACTATCACTCAAAAATTATTCCAATCACTGTCATTTTAATTATATCAATTTTACACATAAATTATTCGATTTTAAATCAATTTTACTCTTGCCATTAATTATCGTCTAAACCAGATGAAATTTCCTTATATGACACAAAATTTTATTTGAAATTTCATTTTACCCTTTAAACTATCTTCAAATATGAATTAGACCCCTACATTAAAGAAATTAATTTAAATATTAAATATTAAATTTTCATCTAAAAATGCAAGAAACATAAATTTTAAATAAAAATATTTAAGTATTTGTGCTATTGAATATTCTCTGAAGAGTTGTTAATTTTAGCATTAGAGTGCTCTTGGGTCGGTGATATGGCTGAATAGGTAATAATCTCGATTTTGTAAGCGGAAATCTCAAGATATTCATTTTCACCGTTTCACTTACCAAATTTTGAAAAAAATATGTTTATCTCAAAACACATGTGGTCTAAATTTTAGCCAGACAATTTTCAACTTACTATTAGTTGATCAGTCATATTAAAATTTATTTAGGGGATAAACTAGTTGCAAATGATGTGTGTATGAGAGAGAGAGAGAGAGAGAGAGAGAGAGAGAGAGAGAGAGAGAGAGAGAGAGCGCATGATCTCAATTAGTTTTTTTAGGGTCGACTGCATGTAATTTGAGGCATAAAATGATAATTTAAAATGAGGCTTTTATATTTTTTAATACTTTTTTTAAAATCTATTTTTCTTACTTTATGAGATAAAATTTATTATTTAGAATTTTAATATATCCAGAGATTTAATTGATATTTGAAAATAGTTTGGGAGGTAAAATAAAATTTTAAATAAAGTTTTGGTTCCACATCAATATATTTCGTTTAATTTAGATGGAAGCTAATAGCAAGGGTTAATTTATTTTTTTTTAAATTAAATAGTTTAAGTGTAAAATTGATATAATTTAAAAAATAAAAATAAATTAATTATTACGTGATAGTTTAAGGAGCAAAATCAAATTTTAGAAGTGAAAGAAACTGAAAATACAAACATAGATCCTTTTTTTTTTGTTTATTTTGTCAACAAACTAATATGAGATAATACATTAATTAATTACCCAAACTATGCACGAACTAAAAAAAGACCCTGTCAGCATCATCAATTATATCTTTTATATTTGATTGTGCGATGTGCGAGTATTTATTTTTAAATTTAAAAATTGATTTTGACTTTTAATATTTTGTGCAAAAAAAATTAATAATTGAAAATCAAATATAAATAGATTTGATATTGTCTGATAAAAAATTGGGAGCTTTTTTGATAAATCCATTTTCTAAGAGCTTTATTCCATCTAATACATATTCTTTTTTACTATTCCATTAGGTCCAATTTGAGATAAGAAGACCAAAATACCCTTTTCATCTACTTATGTTCCATTTAGTTCATATTATTTTCTTATGTTTCAATAAGTCCTATGGGTGACATAATTACCAAAATACCCTTAATGTGAATGTTCACACCGTCAATGTAAATGTTCATATCGTCAATGTGTAAGGGCCCGGCCCATGTCGATCCTCGTGGGTGCCCGGAAAAATTCGAGTCGGGCCGGGCCGGCCCACAGGCCAAAAAAATAGGCCCAGTCCGGCCCGGCCCGTTGATAATATGAATATTCACATTGACAAGTTAACATTCACATTGATAGGAGTGTAAAATTGGCCTGTGGCCCGTGGGCGGCCCGAAACCAACCCGCTGCCTGGGGCGGGCCCGGGTAGGCCCGTTCACAATGTGAATATTCACATTGACATATTAACATTAACATTAACATTGACAATAGTGCAAAATTGGCCCGTGACCCGTGGGCAGCCCGAAGCCCGGGCCCTTGTCGGGCCCGGCCCGGCCCGTTGACAATGTGAATATTCACATTGACATGTTAACATTCACATTGATAGGAGTGTAAAATTAGCCCGCGCCCTGTGGCCGGCCCGAAAGCCGCCCGCGACTCGTGAGCTGCCTTGGGCGGGCCCGGCCCGACCCGTTGATAATGTAAATATTCACATTGACATGTTAACATTCACATTGAAAAGAGTATAAAATTAGCCCGCGCCTCGTGGCTGCTCGAAACTAGCCCACGGCCCGGGGCGGGCCCAGCCCGGCCTGTTAACAATGTGAATATTCACATTGACATGTTAACATTCACATTGATAAGAGTGTAAAATTGACTCGCGTCCCATGGGCGGCCCGAAGCCCGTGGGCGGCCCGAGATGAGCCCGGTCCGGCCCGTTGACAATGTGAATATTCACATTGACATATTAACATTCACATTGATAGAAGTGTAAAATTGGCCCGTGGCCCGTGGGCGGCCCGAAGCCCGCCCGCTGCCCAGGGGGGGCCCAGCCCGACTCATTGACAATGTGAATATTCACATTGACATATTAACATTAACATTGATAAGAGTGTAAAATTGGCCTGTGACCCGTGGGCAGCCTGAAGTCCGGCCCCGGGCCGGGGCGGGCCCGACCCGTTGACAGCGTGAATATTCACATTGACATGGTAACATTCACATTGATAAGAGTGTAACATTAGCCCGTGCCCCGTGGTTGTCCGAAACACGCCCACGGCCTGTGGGCGGTCCGAGGCGGGCCCGACCCGACCTGCTGACAATGTCAATATTCACATTGACATGTTAACATTCACATTGATAAGAGTGTAAAATTGACTCGCGTCCCATGGGCGGCCCGGGTTTGGGTCCAGGCCTACCCCAGGCCGCGGGCGAGCTTCGGGCAACGGACAAATTTTACACTCCTATCAATGTTAATGTTAACATGTCAATGTGAATATTCACATTGTCACGGGTCGGGCCAAGCTCGCCTATGGCTGCGGTCGGGCTTCGGGCCGCCCACGGGCTGCGGGCCAATTTTACACTCCTATCAATGTGAATGTTAACATGTCAATGTGAATATTCACATTGCCAACGGGCCGGGTCCACCCCAGCCCGAGGTCGGGCTTCGGGCTACCCACGGGTCATGGGTCAATTGTACACACTTATCAATGTGAATGTTAACATGTCAATGTGAATATTCATATTGTCAACAGGCCGGGCCGGGCCCGCCCCGGGCCAACCACGGGCCGTGGGCGGGTTTCGGGCAGCCACAGGGCGCGGGCTAATTTTACACTCCTATCAATGTGCATGTTAACATGTCAATGTGAATATTCACACTGTCAACGAGCCGGGTTCGCCCCGGGCCGCAAGCGGACTTTTGGCCGTCCATGGGCCGCGGGCTAATTTTACACTCTTATCAATGTGAATGTTAACATGTCAATGTGAATATTCACATTGTCAACGGGCCAGGCCGGGCCGGGCCCGCCCCGGGCCGCGGGCGGACTTTTGGCCGTCCATGGGCCGCGGGCCAATTTTATACTCTTATCAATGTGAATGTTAACATGTCAATATGAATATTCACATTGTCAACGGGCCGGACTGGGCCCGCCCCGGGCCGCCCATGGGCCGCGAGCGGGTTTCGCGCCACCATGGGACGGGGCCCAATTTTACACTCCTATTAATGTGAATGTTAACATGTCAATGTGAATATTCACATTGTCAACGGGTCGGGCCGGGTCGGGCCCGCCTTGGGCTGCTGTCCAGTTTTATACTCTTATCAATGTGAATGTTAACATGTTAATGTGAATGTTAACATGTTAATGTGAATATTCACATTGTCAACAGGTCGGGCCGGGCCCGT